CGGGTGATTGCGAGGTCGGACCAAATTTCCCTTCATCAGTTCTCTTCACAGAAGCAACCCTTGGCGTGAATTGCCTTTGTCTCTGATTGAACGAGTCCTTATCCTCTTCGGTTCTCTTCACAAGAAGCAACCCTTGGCGTTAATCAACTTTGTATCTAATGTTGGAGGGGAAGGTATTCAGTGAATGGCAAACAGAAAAAGAAAAAAAAATGAAGATGGAAGAAGAAGGTGGGAGATGCATACCTGAAACTGAGAGCGGCAACAACCTCTGGTTTCGAATTCTTTGCTAGGTTTTTGTTTTCCTTTACTCGGTTCTATATGAAAACCCATAGGATGGAATGGTGCATCACGATGCACTGGATAGTGTTTTCCCGCTGCCAATTCAGCGTACACATAAGTGTCATGTCACTCTTCTATTTCGAGAAACACCAGCCTCCAACTCAAATCGTCTTTTTTGCATTGCAACGGTTGTGAATTGCACAAATTTCGACACATTCCCGTTTGTTTTCATTTTTCTCTAAAAACGGTGCAACCAAATAAGATGGTGTTTGGAAGCATGGATGTTTTTTAGGACCAATTTTTAAGAAAAAACGTTCATCCTTTCAAGACTTGTTTTTCACAAAAAATAACGCTTCTGCCATGTAGGCAGTGAGCAACACTATGTTGTTTGGTAAGGTGATTTTCATTATTGCTTTTCATATATGTGTTAACAGGTAAGCACCACATAGGATACACATTAGTCAACCGTTAGGGGAAACGGTTCACCGATTAGCGTTTCATGCATCGGTGGGGTCCCGATTTACGAGGCATGCCCAATTTTTTAATAAACGCCTTAACCAAACATTCATATATATGGGCATTTGTTGAAACGCCTATCTGGATCTGACATGGCACTGTTTTTTTGAAAAACGGCCATAGTTCCAAACATCCCCTAAGCTTTTCGACCATTGGACCCCAAAATCCCATGTGTCACCTACATCAACTCAAAACAGCCGTGCAACGCCTCGGTATCAAACAATGCCTAAGATGGTGTTTGGAAGCATGGGCGTTTTTTGGGATCGATTTTCAAAAAAAAATGACCATGCTTCTAAGACCCATTTTTTCACAAAAACAAAAAAAAAAAAAAAAACACTTTGATTTTGTTTAGGAGTGTTTCTGCCATGTAGGCAGTGAGCGAACTATGCTGTTTGGTAGGTGATTTTCATCACCGTTTTTCATGTATATGCTGATAAGTAAACATCACATAGGATACATATAATCACCAATCAATCAACCATTAGAGACAATGGTTCATCAATACATGAAATGCCAAATTTAACGTTTCATGCATTGGTGAGGTCCTGATTTACAAGGCATACCCATAATTCAAACATTTTTTAAAAAAATGCGTAAATCAAACAATCATATATATGAACATTTATTGAAACGCCTATATGGATGCAACGTGACACTTCCAAAACATCCCCTAAATCAGTATGTATTGATTGTATGAAAATTACTAAATGAGTATGAGGAGGATTAGGCTTATAAATCATCCTAAATCATGCCAAGTGGTTCCTTTCTGTCACGTTTTGGTTCACCGACGGGGACGCAGGTGAGACACATTTCAAAACCAAATCGGATGTAGAAGCATGTAATGAAGCCGGCCACGCTTATTGGCTTATTGCTTATTTTAGTGCCATAAATTTTGCTTGAAACTACTATGCTGTGGGAAGCACTGTTTTTAAAATTGGATCGGACAGGATGATCGGACTGGAAAAACTGAGAATCGGTTATTTGATCAGTTTTGTTTTCTTCTAAAACCACTTTTTTTTTTCAAAATCATTGATTTTGGTCAATAAATCGCTGAACCAGCCGATTAATCATTTGAACAGTTTTGATCGTTTTCCATTTTTTTTTTATTAAAATGAGCCAGTCATTTGGATTGAATGGTCGAACCGTTCGAACCGATAATCGGACCCTAACCGATTCGATCACCAGTTCGTTTTTAAAAACCATGGTGGGAAGGGAGCAGCACGTGTCATCAAATCAGAGTCGTTGGTCCCACGCTATCAATTATTTTATAAGTAGACCCGATCATTCCGACTTCAGATCAAGCGGTAATGCATGAGATAGCCATAGGTTTCCTCCCAATTCTACTTAAAGCTAATTTTCTCTTTAAGGTTAAGCATCCTATTGCTTGTGCAAACAAGTATAGATGATGAAGGTATACTTGCTCTTGGATACATTCAACGCTGTGTTTGCTGTGAAATTCCTTAAGCATTAAGAAATTTTCCTTGAGGGTTAAGAAATTTTCCATCAAAGCAAACATAGCCTTAATTCTGTTGTAACATTTCTCACTCTAATAAAAGTACTTACACAGGTGGATCCTCGATCCAACACTCCAAATCCTATCCATTTTCCAGATTTGGATTTTACCAGATATCAGCCCAACATGATTTCAGTGCGGTTCTCTGGTACGGCAAACGGGCTGCAGCTTTTGGAGAAATGGCCTAGACTGCACTTTGACCAACAGAAATGTAGCCAACTTTTGGGTTCATGCAGGGCCCGCTTATTTGGTTGGGCCGAACGATTGGGTTCGTGGTTGGGTTGGTGTTTGGAGTCAACTGGTCAATCTATTTAGAGTCCCACTACGGAATAACAAATTAACAATTATGCATGGCATATTCTCCTGTTTATCGTATTACTAGCTGATAACAAGAATCCGGATCTGATGCAAATACGAATTTGCAAACATAGTTAAGTGAGCGATCATAAGTTCATAATAGAACACACTAGTGTTCTATATATATGCAGGTTCATACACTTGTATTGTCGCCTTCTCGGTCGATATCAAAAGGCTAATGACAATACTGTGGGTGCTGGAAAGCCTGGAATTTCAAATTTGTTTACATTTTACGATGCCGCGTAAATGGAGATGTAACTTGTAATGTTAAAAACAATGCACCAATGTGAAATTTGCATTTTTCTGCTAAACTTTCGATTCATTCTCTGTGTCAAGTTTTCTTCAAAGAATTCACATCTCTGCCCCACAGCATACCCCAACGGTCTATTGGAAACATTTCTATTGATAACTTCGAAAAATGTTCCCAATGCATGCTGAGATGTGTATGTGGAGTGTTTGTGGGGCACAATCTATGGGCACAGATGTGAATTAGGTTGGATGTGGGTGCAGTGTATATATGTGCCATACTATATTCTTTTTAAATAATTATGTTTTCACTGTTTGTTTAAAATTTTATTGACCATTTTCTATTCTATTTAAGCGGGTATTTGGTTTAAACATTATGTTATCCTCTTCTTCGTGCCTCTTTGAACAGGTGATTTGCACATTATTCAAGAGACACATCACATTGCAATGATGATTTGTATCCGTCCAAGTGGCTAAAAATTCCTTATAAATAGTGTTGGTCAATCCAGTGGTCGAGGTTTTAAAAGGCTAAAGGCATAGTTGAGGTATAAGTTAGTTGCAAAGCATAAATCTCAAAATTTAAGGAAAAAATTAATTAAAATTTGTAAATTAATGAAAATAACATATAACATGTCAAATTAAAATGATAGAAAATATATATATCCATAAACTAAAAACTTATAACCAATAAATTTCGGCATTTAAGCATTAGATAAAATAAAATCTAATCAACTAACAATTATAAAATATTCATTTCATATAAAAAAACTAATTTAGAAAAAATAAAACTTATTATTATTTACATGAACACAAAATAGTCCACGCAAGTGCTGTGAGGTGTGTGTGAGTGCAACTTGTGTGGATTATTCAGTGAGGAGTAAATCAAGAATTCAAGATTCAGTAGGTGTTTGGCATCAATGCTGGGAACATAGCACCGTTTTTATGCACCATTTTCTCATAAAAACGGTGTTACGCATGTCTGATTGTCAGGGTTGTAAGAGAAAACGATGCTTACTTTTTATTTACTGCCACATAAGCTGTTTTATCATTAATGGGAAGATATCATTGGTTTTATTTGATACAAGTGTTGTAAAACCATTTTCAACATTGATCATATTATCCAATGTCCAAGATAATGCCACATTGATACCACGTCATTACACCACTAACAGCAATGTATTGCTTTATGAGAAAATATCAAATTTGGCATTGCTTTAGACAAAGTTCAAAGCACCGCTTTTTCTGATGCGGCACGTACCTATGGGCACCATTTTCTTAAAAATGTCCAACATCACTTCAGAGTCCCAGACACTCCTCACACGGTCACACCCAACTTCATAGCAGTGACAGTACGTCTCAGCCGGCACATCAAAAACATCTCCCGTATTTGCTGTGAGTTAGGTGTGAGGAGCGTTCGGTGAGAAGCAAATCCCGTAGCACTCAAAGCCTAAATCTCCGAACACAACCAAGCAGAGACTTTACCAGCAAGCTAGCTTGCGCCTTCTAGCTTTCCAAGGTTCTACCTGGCAAGTGCTGCTTTTTGTGTTGATGTAAAACCCATTTAAAAGGTGTGTAAAACTTTGTTTTATGCATTGATTGAAACAAACGAAAAGTGAAAACCAAGTTGGATATAGGCTCACGTGGAAAGGGAAAAAATGACGTGGACTCCACGTTGGAATAAAGAAATTCCAAAACGCAAGCCCATAACTCCGTAACCCAGCAACAGCAATCTTTTTAGTTATTGCCAAATTATAAATCTGGGTTCCTTGGTATGCCTACCTTTACTTTTCCTAAAAAAAAAAAAAAAAAAAACTGTAAGCCAAAGTGGCGTGATGTGGGCAGAAACAAGAGATGGCAATTTTTTTTATTCCAGCTAACACATTTACTTCCCCATTCTTGCATAATTTGAGCCTACAAGGACGCCATCACACAACACAAGCCACAAAATTTTCAAACCATTCACATAAAAAAAATGCTTCGAAGCCGGGCTAGACCTCGGAATTACTTTTCTAGTGGAAACTTAACTGGTATCACTTGTTATTTAATTTCGTCTTTAACGGTTTATTAACCTTGAAAAAAGACCAAGAAATAGGAAATTAGAAAAAAGAAACATGTGATAATGGAATAAAGTTATAAACAAACGAAAGGAAAAGAAGTCAATACATCATTTGCTGAGTTTTCTTTTTCTTTTTTTTTTTCTTGCTCTTTGTAGGGTTTTCAATTAATAAACAAAGTCGGTCGGGGATTCTAGCCGACAGTGGACGGTTTGGTATTTCAGTTCGCCTGAAATTAGCAAGATTGCCGCACCGAACAAGCAACGACCTGAGCCCACTGCCTTAATCTCGTTTTCACCAGTTGAGGATTGTCGCCTTCGAAAAGAAAAAAGGACAAGAAGAACGAGGTTAGATTCGTCACAAATGGATTCTCCTGCAATTTAAATCACCGAAAGAAACACATCTAAACAGAAAGCCAGAAACCATGGACAAAAATCATAAATATAAACTGGCAGGAAGGCAGTTCAGCCTCTGGATCAGTCGATTGGAAATCAATCGGAATGTTAAGTTACCAAAATCATGAACGGATCGTTTGTAGACCCAAATCACGAGACCCCAGAAACACGAAAAAACTATTATCAGAAAGCAATGCAAACCAAGCACAGATGGAGGCTTTGGATCCATCAAACAAATTAACCAGACAGCGATGCAAATCAAATCAGGATCTGACTTGTGAGAGAGAGACGGGGATATGAGCATTACCTGGAGTGAATATGGTGTGAGGGCTTCCCAAGGGCGACGATGCATCGCACTCGGAGGCGGCGGTGGACGAAGACGGTGATTTGGAAACGCTGTCGTTGTACTGCTTGTTGACGGCATAATAAAGACCCAAAGCGGGCAAGGTATCGGAGAGCCTGCTGTCGAGATGGGGCGAATCGGAATCGAAACCAAAACCCAACTCGATGCAGGCCTTGAGTTCGACAAGGTCCTCGTCCGTTACGCTCTTGCTCCGTCTTCTGTTGTTGTTGCCCTTCTTCCGTTTCAACCAGGCCTCATCCCGATACGTATCGGGGGACCAGGAATGCTGTTTGTAAAGCGATGAGGGCAGAGCCTTGAGTCTGAGTTCCGACATGGGCCCAGCCCCACCACCACCCTCCTCACCACCCCTTGCCGGGGGATGTGCTGGGTCGCGGGAGGTCTCTTCGCCTTCTTCTATTTTTTTCGCCGTTTTCTGCGCCTCTGCGCTAGGCCAGGGATTTTATATGCTAAACAGTAGGAGGTGGCATTGTTTGTATGCTATGTGGGCCAGCTACCGGTCATCCAACGGTGGAGTGGTGGGCCCATCACCCTCCAAACATTGGTTGGTCCGCATCATCATTGCCTGTCCTTCCTTTCCAAAAGCTAACCCCACACCGTCAAACACATCCCCATTTCTTCTAAACTTAGCAAAAGACGTCCGGATCTAGGAGGTCTCATCTCATCTCATGTGGGCGTCCCCGTCCCACGACGGGGAGCGGCCTGTGGGGCCCTGTTATTTAGGGACATTTTGGTCACTACAGAGGTTTTTTTTTAATTATTCTTGATTGGCAGATAAAAAAAGAGGGAAATCCGATTGGTGATTGGTGAGGACCAGGCGTTCTTTTCTTTTTTAATCACCACTCACCAGGACAGTACATGTTATCGTAAAAGTGGATCCCCCCTGGCAATGGGCGGAAGTGGGAGCACCTGCTCGAGCTTGATGCATGATGATGGATCGGGATCCTGATCCCACTCCTGATGAGTCCTGCCGATTGCCGAAGCGGCGAAGCCCCAAGCAGGAGGATGTTTGGTGACAAGTGTTAGATTTTTATGCTTCCCTGCTCGCGTCGTAAAAAATAAAATAAAATTGCATCCAAACATGCCATGGAGAGATGGAGGTTCTCATCAAATTCAACGAGGAGAAATCACTTGGAGTAGCGCTGGGTTAAAACCGTAAAATCATAGCCTTTGATGCATTGCCCCACTTTACCTCACTTCAACCACTTCAAGGAAGGGCCAGCCAGGGCAATATATTGAGGGCTGTGGTTGACGGTTTTAGCCCAGCGCTACTCCACGAACGGATCGGTCAAAAGGTCCTCTAGTCTAGATGGATGACATTTAATACGTTTAATTTAGATGATTTTGGACCGTTGATTTGTGTATGAATTCTAATTTGCAATCGGTCCAACTTATAATTATAGAGAGAAGAGAAGAACCGTAGGATGGGTAGAGGAATTAGGAAGGAATGGTTGTGGAATGTGGAGTGTGGCTGGCAGGCGGGACTCGCACCCGCAGCCAGCGTTGTCAAGTCAATGTCAGGTGTCTGTGTTGGATAGTTAATTCAATGCGTATTGTGTACGAGTTGAGACCGGACCTGCTTCTCACAAAGGGCGTCTCACACTGATCTCAGACGCACAACCAATCATGCATTAAGAACAGTTTGGTGAGATGTGAATGAGGCGCTCTGTGTGAAGAGTATATCTCAATCCGTACAGTTTGGTTTGTAAAGTCCAACTAAGCAAAAGGATGCCTACTAGACATGGGACCCACTTAATGTTGAGCTGGTAACAGGTTGGCGATTCGAAGATTTGGTTGGATGCTTTGGACGGTAGCTGAAATACGCCCATGCTTATTTGTTAAATTACCAGCGCACCATTGGGAATCAAGCCGTTTTTTAATCAGTACTTTACAATGGGCAACGGGCAACCGTGAGAGGCTGAGAGCCCGGAGGTGGGGTGCGATCCCAGGTTCTTGGGGTTCCGGCAAGGTTGAGAGAGAGGAATCCGTGCATGTGAATGAAAATATACAAGTAGGGAGATGGCAATCGATGTGAGGACGAAATCCGATCCCAAGAGTGAAATTGAGAGCTGTTTGTGTATTTGTTTTTAAAACAAAAACAATTGTTACATCAACAATTTTTTTTTTTTTTTGGCTTTTGAAAGAGAAAATCATAGGCAAACACCCCTATACCGGCCTGGGCATATCAATTTATTGCCACAAAGAAAAGGAAAAAAAAAATATTTGCGAAGTATTAGACACAATAATTCTACAGAATTTCCCTGATACTATTGTAAAATCAGCGCTAAGTTATCTTGTCTCAATCCCTAAAATATATATATTTGAATTATCTTTTATTTTTTCTTCTTCTCCACCAATGCATGCTCTAAAGACTCAATAATTATTATCAAAATAATAACAATTCCACGAAACCTCCTTGCGTGTACATGAGCGATGCTTCCACTAAACAGAATTTAATGTGATATTGCTTTGGATTTTAATACAAATTTATGAAGAGAACCAATTAATAAATTAGATGATATTTGACAAACTACTGTATTAAAAAAAAAAAGGAAAATATTAAGGGGATTCAATGGTTATCCTGTTAAATTAGATGGAATAATTGTTCTCGAGAAACCAAGATATATGCAAATAATTGCCTCTTCCTGATTTTTGAATAAGGTAATTAGATGAGGCTTAAACAAATGCTAAAGTCACATTTTGTGATATGCACAAGCCCCTAGCCATTAACACCTAGATTAGGCTCATCACTTATTAAATCAATAATAAATATGAAGGTGACTTTCAGTTCCAACGGGGGTAAAGGTGCCTTCCATACACTTTGTTAAGTGAACAGATATTCTAGTTAACTGCAACTTGCACAGCTAAAGTTTAAAACTTAAGAAGTAAAATAAAGGGAAAGAAAGAGAAGAATCTTTGATAAGAAAGGAACCTGACTGCCCAATCAAAATAAATTGGTAAGTGACAAAGGGGTTGTTTGGTATATTCCTATTCCAGGTTGAAATGCTGCCACATCAGTGCCACGAAGGCAATTCAATTTTGACATTTTAAAAAGTATATTCGGTAGAATAGGTCCAACCTCAACTATGAAGTATGAACACATTTTGAATATGGTATTACATATAAGGGGTGTTCAGAGTTTCTTTTTCCTTTGTCCTAACCTAATAGTGAGATCACATCTCCTCCCCACAAAGGGCCACCCCACAGTGCATCCCTACCGTGTATTGGGAACATCTCCCAATGATAATACACGGCAGGGATGAGCTGTGGGGCGTTGTGGGGCAGCCCCTTGTGGGGAGATGTGAACTCATGTTTAGTTGCAATGCAAATAAATTTGCACTGGTGCAAAACCATGACAGTGCAAATGATTTAAGTGTAAATTCTGATTTATTTTTGTTTCACATTTTAGCTTATTTTATTTGACTGTGGTACAATGAAGGAGATTAAGATATGAAGCAAAATAAAGTAAAGCCCAAAACAAAATTAAAGAAGAATTTACATTTTTTTCTCATTTACACTCGCAAGCATTTGTACTAGTGCAAATAAAATTGCACTGCAACCAAACACAGCCTAAGGCTCAGTTTGGAAAGGGTACAAATACAAATAAATAGTGTAAAACCTTATATTTTGTATTATTTTATATGTAATTGCAGTGTACATATTTGTATTTATACTCCTTCCACACCGATTAAAATCCTTCAGTGTATACCACCTCTTCTAGTCACTCTTATTTCGCAGCAAGTGCTGAGCTGTTATTCTGTTTTAGTGACTTTTGCTTCAATACATCCCATCTTTCGTATTTTGTTAGACTAGCAATGGTTCAGGTAGGAAAGGGTTCAAGGATTGGATTTTTTTGGTTCAGCGTCTCAGCCTGTGGTCGACTCGCCAGTACAAACTACAAAGACTGGTTTTGTTCAAGATTTCAGGTTGGCTAATTATTACCTAGTTTTGATTCTGAATTAGGATTTGGGTACTTTCCCATAATAGTCCTGAACCCGGATGAAAGTATCTTCTTAGGAAAAAAGAACAATTTTTAGATCCTTTTCTCCAAAATTTGGTTGACATCTTTCTCAGAATTTCAATTGGAACTAGAACAGTGATATTGAAAAGAAGAAGAAGAAGTTGGCTTTAATTTAGTTCACCCAGATCCATAAAAGAAATATAGAAAAAAAAAAGGATGTCGAGTAGGGGTAGGCTGAGGTTGCTAACGTAAAAGATCGACCATTTTGTGCAAGTGCATAGGGTCATTGACAATGATAGAAATTTTATTAATAAAACTATTGTCTATTTCTTAATCTAGAAGACTTCTCAGCTACTAGACATTTGATTTAATCGTAACGGCTCCAAATCATATTCCAAAGAATATACTTCAACTCAATTATTAAGATCATAGACCATACAGTCAGTTCTACATTAGATATTATCTTAAGATAAGATCAAGCTGTGAATAGGAAAATTAAGAGGGGCCCGGTTGAATAATGCACTCCATGTGCCATATTGGATTTAAGTGCCCATTTGTTACGGGGGTAATCATTGGGGCCCCGTGCGGCATTCGAAATGGGCAAGTGAGCCTTCGAAACAAAGCAAACACACATACAAAGGCAACAAGATGGCACACGAATTAGCAAAAGGCTATTTGTATTGCATTAATCAGTGGTAAGCACAAACACACAGTACAGTGTCGAAGGGATCTCGTGCTTAACCTTTACACGCTTATGAGCTCACTCRACTACCTACCTCCCCTCAAAGAGTACGTTAAGCTTTTGGGGGAGTGACAATAGGAAACATCAAAATGATGGAAAAGCATACTAAATAATTACAATAACGCCATTGGCGGTCCCCTTTACAAAATATAAGCAAAGCCCACCCATGACACACATGTTGATACCATAAAGGCACGCGGTTGGCACTCTGATGGCTCACTAAAGGTGCTTGATGGCGCGACAAAGGAGTCACCTGTGACACATTGGCGTCATTGGATGGAATTAGTGCAAGGTTAGGCATGTGCTTATATGCTTATGGCCTGTTTGCGGTTAAACCCTTGTAAAATGGAATAATGATGCATTGCATTTGAATCCATATCATCACCAAAATTTCGTTACCAGTTGTTGGCTCAGTTTGGAAGGAGTACAAATTTGTATTTGTAGAGTACAAAACCTTGTATTTGTACTCTTTCCAAACTCAGCCTAAAGAACAAAATTGAAAATGAATTATTTCTCAAGAATTTTCTATTTTTTTTTCGAACAAACCTGAGAAGAGATGGGAGATAAGATGGAATCTCCACATCTGCTGCAACCATGGCCGCAGCAAAATCTTTCAACCTCCGAATAATTCACGGTCACACAAGTTTTCAAGTCAGTGACAAGTGGCAACTATTTCCACTGAATATTACTAGCTAAGCCATCTGGCAACTTTTGTATCACACATTTATCATTGAATTATTATTTAAAGAGAATATTTTCAAGGGAAAAATAATGTGGCCCTCCATGTCCCTTGCACGTGGAGGAAGTTTAACTAGTCAACACACAAGACTAGAGAAAGTTAAAAAATGACAACATCAAAAACAGAACACTTCATTCAGACCAAAAGACCAGAATTTTGAAGCTGACATTTCAACCATTTTCCAGAATTTACTTCAATTCAATACAGAAATGAAACAGAAGTATCTTCATTCAAGTTGAACTGAGATAACTAGTTTTCTTTAATATTTTCTTTCAGTCGCCTCCATAGATTGGTGTACAAGCATTTGAAATTTCAGTTTTTGAATCCTCAACAGTGGTGCCAAAAGCATGCGATCAACTCGGAATGTGTATCGTTTGTTTGTCTAATTGAATGGATGCAACCAAGTAATCTAACTTGTCATTTTGTCAATTGGACAGTGCAAAAGCACCTATTACAACTCTGAAATTATTCTACGAATCAGATGGTCAAAAATACCTACTATCCGGTATTAATATGTAGTTTAGGACTCAATTTAGATGCAAGTTTTCAAAACAACCATTTCAAAATTTTCCACGACTGTTTTCGTGGAGAAAACTTTACTGCTATAACTGATTTACAGCATAGATGGCTTATAGATGACTGTCATATCAATGGCTGAACTCAACAAATCATCCATCCTTTCATGTGGCTAAAATAGGATGCTTATTTAATAGGGATTGATTAAGAATGGGCTTTCAAAAGATCATAATTGCTAGAATTAAAGGGTTCAAAAAGGAAACACAAAGGCCACTCTCTTTGACCACCTGGGGTTCTTTTTCAAGACCAAACTTCAAGGAAATTTCCTTCAAATACCAGTGATTTTACTCTTCAAAGACAGGCAAGTAAGGGTGGTTATAAACTTCAATTTAATCAAAGTTTATTAGCCTGCTCAAGGCTTACCATTGCCCCTTTCAACCAGTAGTCTTCATTTGTCTATGCCATATCCCAAGAGAAGCTTCTTGGAAGTTAGATAAATTTACCCTTCGAGGCCTTGCCAGATTGCATGGAAGAATAACTTCCAAGCTTCAAGAATCAATCATGTTTCAGAAATCAGGATGCATGATGCTACTTTTTGAATAGGTAATTGGGGAATGATTTCCTCATCTAGACTGGGGGAAGTGTAATTCACAACCTATAACAAACATGTGGCAGTGGGTTCAATTTTGGAAAATAATATACACAAGTAAACCTTTTCTAACAGATTGCACAATTACATCCACTACACTCTAAACTCAAAGAAAATAAAATAATATAATTTTTCAGATTTTGCCCAGCCTCACCCCTTTCCTTTCTACTTGTTCTGTCATTTACTCTTTTTTTTCTCTATACAACTGATTAAAAGAATGAAGAGGCTTAACATGATCCATTTTCACAATGTGTATGAACACATTGTGAAAATGACTATGACACATAAATTAATGTGTCATAGTCACATAAATTCTTAATATTGGTCTGCTCTATACAACTGAACACCAGTGGTGAGTGAATGACTATGACACATAAATTAATGTTTCCAATTTTGTGAGGGAGTGTGTCTGTGGGTCAATGTCGTTTATATATGGATGGATAGACAGACAAGCAGGTAGATAGATAGTGTCGTTAATATATGGATAGATAGATAATAGGTAGATAGAGCAGACCAATATTAAGAATTTACCTAAAATTAGTTTACCAATATCCACTCCATTAAATCACAATTTAATTTATAATAGTTTAATACAATGGATGACTGGAGGTACAAAATCCTTACAAAAAACAGTATGATAAGTGCATTAATTAGCCACCATCAGGGTTGATAAACTTCAGGAAGCCGAAGACCAACACTAGCAGCAGATTTTCCTAGTATTCTTTTCATTTCATCTGATCTATCCACTGCAATATTGTATGAGAAGAGCAGATCCTACAATCATTTAGCATGTCAAAATCAGGGTTTAGAAAAGGAACTGGGACAACCAGAATTTTATTTACATAGTTTCCTCATAGCAAAACTAATTACCAAAAAACCAAAGCAAATAAAAAAAGAAGAGAAATAGAAGGCATAGCAAGTTAGCAACAACAAATTTAGGCAATAGCCTCAAATTCCGAAATTTAAACTGCACATTCATCCATATTTTTAACAAGGCATTTGCTATGTTGTTTTTTTATAAGCGGTAAAAGTATTTGTATTACTCATGAGAGAGAGAGAGAGAGAGCTTTCCTCAATTATTTAGTTCTTTATTTCTGATTGGTTATGCTGTTAGATTCATAAATTTTATGCACAACTTTTGTATATAAATTTGGAATTTCATTGATTAATATGGTACAAACATGTTTTACCCAAAAAAAAATGGTACAAGCTTGATATTTTCTAGTAGCACGGTGGAAAAAATACTTTGAATCTCTGACCAATCCCAAAAAAAAAGAATCCCTTAATTCAAAGTTTTCTTCAAAAAGCTTACATGATCTAATAGAACTCATGCAATCCGTACCAAATAATTTAGACAAGGCTTATTTATTTTTATTTAATCATTTACTAGCAGGGTCCCTGCGACGCATGGGCTTTGTTAAAACAAATTCAGGCAATAGAACTAGGGATACAAGTTGGGTGTACCCAATTGAAGCCCGACCTGATTCAATCAAAGCTTTTGCACAGGTTGGGTTTGAGTTTTTTACCTTTAAGATGGGCTTGAGCCAAAAAAACAAAAAAAAAAAAACTCAGGCCTAAACTAAACTCACATTGGACTTAGGTTGAGGCCTCGGGTACTGATAATATGTATACACACACACACACACATATATATAAAATAAAACTGGACGTGCCATGTCAGCACATCTCTCCTTTCTCCTCCACCCTTTTCCTAATTTTTCAGAATTTTCAATTTTTTTCTTTTTTTTAATCCACGTAATTATAATCAAGCCCAATGAAAGGCTAGAGACTTTTGGACTTCCGAAACGTCTCCCGCCCTCCTTTCGTTTAACAAGTTGGAATGCCAAATGTTATTCCATCTTGACTTTTTCCATTTTCGTTTAACGAGTTGGAATGCCAAACTTCAATCCTTCTTCCAACTCTTAATTTTGGTATGCATTTCTTCTTCTTCCAACTCAGTTTCTTCATTTTGATTTTTTTTTCCATTTTCATTTTGGTTTTGCAATAGAGTGGGTTTTGTCATCTGTTCTCCAAGACAAAGGCTCCAGCTCAAAGCTCAAGTCGTTCTTCAATACAGGAAGGATACACAACTTTTCCTCTATAAATTGCTATCCACCACTCAAGTGTCCGCCCATACACACATTAGAGCTCACCAGCTGTTGTGATTTATGATCCTACTATAATAGTTTGGCAATTGGGAATGTTTGATTTGATATTCACCATACTTGCAGGTACTTGTGGACATGTGCTTTTTGTGGCAACTCGCCCACCCTATAAATCCCCAAAACACATTATATATTTTATAATTTATTAATTTTTGTCTATATTCATGAAGAACCAATGCTTATACGTATCTTTTATCTATATTTATTTCAAAAGAAACTTTAAGATTTCATTATGAGAAGGTCATCATGTAATTAGGTCTCCACAGTCGGAATACACAATTTCATCAGCTGGAACAAAATATAGTTAAATAAGTATCAGTAGGCATATTGAACAAGTATCGGTAATATAGTTGTTCAGTTGGAATGTGTACAACCTAATTGATAAAATATCAAGAACTTTAACTATATTCTATTAAACTAGACATGTCATAAATGTTAGGCAACTGATAAAACTGTTGTGCCAAAACTTTGGCATGAGTACAGCCCAAAATCCAGTATGAAGAGAAGATCCCATGCCATTTGGGAATCTACATTGTTTTACAGCAGAGAATCAAGACCTCATAAAGGGGCTTTAAGGTGAAAATCCTACTCTGATTTACACCATAGGACAAAACTAATAGAGGAGCTAAAGGTCCTCTTTCTGCTGGTGATTTACATAGAAAAATCAAGGAAATTGAGATATCTTTAGGTTTATTATAGGATTGATGAGAGAGGGGCTAAATGCATATATCTAACAGCCTCACCAATCATCCTGTCCATACAACTGATAATTCTTACTGCTTTTTTTATATAAATTAGTTTGTTTCTCAACTTACTTCCCTTCTCTTGCTTTATATTAGTAACCCGGTAGCCCAACTTATTTCTAGCTTGATTAATGATTTCATGGCTCCTTTATTAGACCTCCCTTCTAGAGCTCCCTCATTTTTTAAATCTTTTTCTTTTGCATTCTCAGTAATTCCTCTTGAAAAGGCAATAGTCACATGGGGTTTCTTAATTATGATTATTCTAACTAAAATTTAACAAAAGTAATATAGGGACAAAAGGGGTAACAAAGTAAAGAAAGAAGCAAAAAGCACTTAGGCATGTTAGGCACAATTTCAAGTGACATTCACTTAAATAGAATGCTAAGATTGTATAAAAGCAATTAAGCAACAGATACTTTCGCAGAGTTATTACTTTGAATCTTCCATGTTCTAATTTTTTTCTATCTATAGGTACTTGGGAGCAAACAAAACCATGCAAGGATATGATGGAAACGAATTGAGGACATGGATATGGGAATGGGTGGTGATTTCAGCCCTTCTTGTGGTTGGTGATAGCGTTTTACTTTCCACAGATATGGTGTATTCCATTTTTGAAAATTTATTGTTAAGAGGGAGCAGTGAACCTACTATACTCACTGCAAATAGGTACAGTTGATTATACTTTGTATGGTGTAGTTTGGTTCTCTTATCTAATTTTATTTTTGCCGAAGGGCAACATTTAATTTATCCTAATAATGTTTCTATTGACATAAAGTCATAAACCATTCAGTTTATGTAAATGCATAACAAAATAATATCTGTATCAGTACAATGAAAATATCAATTCATACTGTTTAGGGCTCCACTATTTTGGCAACATGAATACATAAAAGATAACCATTTGATACTTCAATGTGAAATTAGACGCTAAGAATTATTTTCGTTGTTTACTTATTTTTGTTAGAGGTCATGTGCCATTTTGTAGCTTGAAATTTTGAATTTTGGTTAGTTGCTGATACCAAAATACTTGATAGAATTTTGCTTAACCATGCTGACATATTGGCTTGAAATAGAGAATTTTTTTATCTCAACTTTTTATTATCAGTAATAACAGTAATTTTACTAATTTGTGCATTCATTGTTATTTATGCATTTCCTAATAATAATAAGTGTTTTAAAAACCAATTCAAAGGCTGAGCCATGTTTTCCTTTGGGTTGAGGACCAACAGTTCAACCGTCTAGATCAAATTGGTTACACCATGATACATTAGCAGCATGTAAAATCAATTGCTCTATATATTATAAGGTTCCTTTTCCCTCAATTTCCCTTAACAATGCCCGTGCATCGCATGGGTCCCAACTAGTATGTATATATATATATGGAAATTGAGCTACAAAGCCCAATATGCCCAAGCCAAGCCTAGCCCGAGTAGGGATGGCAACAAAATGGGTTTGGGGAGGGTTTTGTAAATTCTAGACTCTACCCGCCTAGCGGGTTGGGTTTTGAGAAACCAAACCCTCCCCGCACATGAAAATGCAAAACCCTCCCCGTATTCAAGGGTAGGGGTGGGTTGGGTTTAAAACCCACATTTAATTTCCTATTATTTCTTATTATATAAAAGCAATAAATAAGTAAAATAACATAAATAAACAACAAAAATTCCAATTATTTGAATAAGATGCAAAAGAACGCATAAACTATCAATTATCCTTTACATCTAATTCAAAATATTATTAAATTCAACACCTAGTACATAAAGTTGTTATGCTTTCCAACAATATGCAGGTTGAGAGGGTCGGGTTTAGCCTAATACCGTACCCTACCCATAACGTACAGGTTATAGAATTCCAAAACCCATCCTTCAAATAAAAAAGCCCGCCCTGTCTAGGGGTGGATACCCAACGGGTAGGGTAGAAATTGCCATCCCTAAACCTAAGATGCTTAGTTAAGGTTGAGTTGGGCCTAGGTTGTTAAACTCAAGCTTAACCTTGAAAAGGACCAAGCTTGAGTGTGAGGTTTGAGGGTTAGGATTGGATTGACCTTCAACCTGACCCAACCCATTCAAGTTGCACCTAACAAGGATCCGTGCGATGCGCGGGCTTTGTTAAGAGAAAGCTAAACAATAAAAGCACATAAGAGTAGACAATTGTTTTATATTTTAACCTTTTAAATAATTAATAATTAGTTATATTTTATATACTACTTTTAATAATTGTTTACAATACAAAAATAACAATAATTAATTTCAGCTAGGTTGTTCATCAAACCGGTGAAACCGACCAACACGACCCAACTCGACTCGTGTTTGGTCAGTTTTCTAGTATTTCTTGTGGGTTTTAGTACAGCAATTTCCCAACCTAACCAAGTCAGGTCAATTTCGGTTTGGCCATCTGTATATATATACCCAAACCAATGTGACCCAAGTTGGCTGGTTTCTTTTTTTTTTTATAGGAAACAGTAACTTTCATTAGATAATTAAAAAGATTATAGGCTTACGACCCACAAAAAGGATGGAAAAAGAAAATCAAAAACTTACAAACTGGCTCAAAACAAAGCCTCCCTATCCTTGCTTAGCTAAAGTGTCAGCCATTCCATTTGCTGACCTTCTTACCCAATTAAAGTGCACCCCAATCTCCCTTGCTAAGCTAATAATCTCTCTCAGCGGCTGTCTAAGAGACCACACTCCCAGGTTTCCAGTTTGCATCCACCCTATTACTAGCTTGGAGTCTCCTTCCACTTCTAATTGCTTCATGCCCCATTGTTTCGCCAATTCCAAACCTTGAAGTAAGGCCATTACTTCTGCCCTTAATGAATCTCCAACCCCAATTGGGCCCAAGTAAAGGGCCAAGACTTTTCCTTCTTCGT